CCAGGGGGATTCACATTCACAGCCCCAACTGCGGTTACACCCAAGCCCACTCTGCCACATTCTATCCCATACTCAGACCTCAAGCCCATCTCCAGGCACAGCCACAGCAACAGCCCTTACCCTGGTCCCTTCCCAATCCCAGTCGGGATATTTGAAGCTGCGATTTAATTTGCCAAAGTTCTTGACGCATTCGTTTTTGGCCTCATCATTTGTTTGCCTGCTGGCTGGCCCGTTTGCTTGTCCCTCTGTCTGTTTGCCAATGATAAATGTTTGCCGGGCCGATGTTCGTTAATGATGACACTTCTTGTTGTCAACTCAGTGGCGTCGCTTGGTGATTTGTCACTGATGGGCAGTGGTACCCTGTAACCCAACCCCAATCCCAACCCCAACCCCCTGCATCTCGGGAATCTTGACAGGTGAAGTCATGAGGGGCTTTGGTCGGTCAATGGGTCCATGTCTGATTAAGTGCTCCAAACTGGCTGTTAAAGTAAAGTTTTCCTGCCCGCCGGCTGGATGACACAACAATAAGTTGATCAAGGACACGCTGCGGACACGATGCGGAGTTGAAGCTGGCTGAGGCGATAGCTGGAAGTTCTAGATGCTGTAGGCGAAAGGCTGACAAGGACAAGGACAAGGAAAAGGACTACGATGGCGATGACGCTGGAGAATTTCGTTTTGCTAAATGCGACCTAATGATACCCAGTGTGTCATCAACTAAATGTCCAACAATAGAGTGGGATAGAGAAATACGATCCAATCGCTCTATACTTCCATGAGAATTAAAACATTTAGATCCGACATCAAGCTTCTTGTTTTAGTTGGGCCCGACATTCTTTAAATTTGCTTTCTTTTGGACATCAGCCCGAAAGCCTGGCTATGGTAAAGCTTTGTGTGGACTGAAATGACGCTTATCTGGCCGTCGAAGTGGCTGTAATCTTTCAAAACAACACTCGCTCCCTCTAGGCGCAAACTTGGCTGGAGGACTAAGCCACCCTGCGACTGTCTGCTGTCACAGAGGGTAGTGATGAAAACAGGTTATAAAAACATGTGTAACTAGACGACTTACAAGGATCACGCACTCCAGTGACACTTAATGCCGCCACGTTGACGTTGGCGCTGGCTCTGGGAGCAGTGCAGAGCTGGGAGCAGGAACGAGAAGGGCGATGCAGGGCAGGGCAGGGCAGGGCAAATGTCACCAACTTACACAGACAAACGCAATTAGCTTTTAGCCATCATAACATTATGAACGGCAGGCGACAGGCAGCCACGAAGGAAACGGCGACGGCGGCGACAGCGACGAGGATGAGGACGAGGACGAGGACGATGCCGTCTGAATGCTAACTGCTAATGACAAGGATGTGGATAGCAGGGACGGAGTGCGGAAGGCAGTAACTGAAACTGAAACTGAAACTAAGGCTGAGAGGCAAGCCCAAGTCAACGGATGACAAGGAAGGGGCAGCGAAGGGGCTGTGGTTAGGATGAATACCGAGCTGGGCGCATTATGTTGATGTGACGGTGAGGGAGAAATGAGGAGTTGTTGCTGGGCAAAGCTCACGGATGGCACGCGGCTGCCAACAATGCTGTTAACTTGTTTCGAGATTAAAATAAGGACACTCCGAGAGTAGGAAAAGCCCCCAGACTCCGTCCCAGACCCAGACCCAGACCCAGACCCCAAAAGTCCCCTCAGTCATGCCCTTTGCCCACATCCGGATGGACGTGCCCCCAACACAGTCATCACAGTTGTCGGAGTTGTCGGAGTCGTCCTCTCTCCCCTCCTCGTTCTCGTCCTCGTCGTCGTCGCTGAGAGTTGACTCGCATGAGTTGCGAGCTGAAGCTTTGTTTATTACGGGAATGAGACTGGCAATGGAAATGGGATTGGGACTCGGAATGGGAATGGGTGATGGGTGATGAGGCTTGCCTTTGACTAAGGCCAAAGTGTCCTGTGGATGGGAAGGATGACTCCCGCTACCACACCCGCTACCGCTACCGTGCATATTCTGATGGGTGGATGGAGCATGGAGCGTGGGGAGGCGTCTCATCATCCAGTTGGCTTCTAAAAATTACTGCGTAAATGATGATATGAGATTTAGAACATTTCTGCGGCATCATTCGACGGAAGCGGATACACGAGTATGGCCCGACACGACTGCACGGGTTAGTAGGCGGAAGGGACGGAATGGAATGGAACGGAACGGAATGGCCGACTGTGGACTGGTGATGGCTGGTGATGTTGTCGCCACCGGAAGGAAGTTATTTAACACATCCCCACACACACACACACATGTGAGGGTTAGGGACCATAGCTCGGAAAGGGGGATTATGTAGCACGATAATCATATTACGATTACGTCGCGTAAAATTTGCTCCTCTGTGAGTGAGTGAGTGAGTGAGGTTTAAGTGGAAGTTATCTAGAGAGTGGGAGCGAGAGAGAAGAGCGGGACAGCCACATACAGCGGATGGTGTGGGAGCTGAGAGATATAGCAACACATCAAATAATTATACATATTTGGTTGTACTCCTACAGGCACAGACCTCAAAGCGTGGTGGTGGGCAAGAGGGCAAGCGTGCCCGGAATACTCTCTTTTTGACTCTCGACAGAACAAACAAATTTATTCAAATTATGACATGCTAAGGCTAAGGCCAAGGCGGTGTCGGAGTCGGAGTCTTGTCTGGGACTGGCCTGGGCCTGGGCTTGGGTTTTTTGTGCAAAATCCCTACTGACAATGGATTAGCCCGAGACAGACTTGGCCCGGACGGGTATGCTCTCACTTGTCAGGCTAAGAGGGGGTGAGACTTTCCTGTTCCTGTCCTCTTACTAGGGTACTCCACCTTCTGTATGCTTATTATTATCCTCTGCCATATACCTTTCCTCTCCAGCTCATTCTCATGTCTTCCTTTGAGCCCTTTTTTCATAATTGTTTAAATTTAATTTCATTGAATTTCGAGGACTGACGCTGTCGACTGGTAAGCCTGTCACTCTTGGCCCAATCGTTGTCAACGTCGTGTCGTCTTCTGCCTCTTTTTGAGGGTAGGGATGCTCCTGCTTCTGCTCCCGCTCCTGCTCCTCCTCCATTGTGGGAAGGATAGGGATGCGGATCGCTTAGCATTAATGTCTTTCATTTATTGTCATTGTTGTTAATGTTTTTTGTGCTGTGCGTGAGAAAAAAGCATTTGCATTTAAACGTCGGCGGATGCCGCAACTCGGCAGCGAGATGGGGCGGAGGCGGAGATCCTGGCAGGAGCTGGAGCAGAAGCTGGACCAGGAGGTGTGGCTGGGACAGAGATTTTGCTTGGATGATTTTTATTGCTCGTTTGTAGTAAATTTGGTGTGTAATTAGAGAGAAAAGGGTTATTATGTTCGTTAACGCAGCGAGCGAGTTCCATCGCATCTGAAAGGACGCTATGCGGCAATCAAGAAGGAGGAACAGATTTGGGCTTGGTAGAGGAGCAGGAGCAGCCGGCTGGATGTATGCATGGGGTACATGGGCTACAGTGAAGGTTAGGCGACACAATGCTGACCGAAAGACGCACCACAAAGCGCCTTGGTCTGACGACCGGAAGGCTTCAGACACAACAGCGCGCTGCAGCGGCAGTGGCAGCAGCAATGCTAGCAAAAAGAAGAAAGCGAACAGCTAACACAAAAAAAATAAGAGGAGGGAAGGGAAGCCAAGGGAAACTGCACTGAAACCAAAACAGGCTAAACGGCAGGGCAAGGCGAAATGAAATTGTGGTGCACCAGAGCGGTTCTGGCCTAGTACTGGCTAGTCCCTGGGTCAAGGGAATGGGAATGGCGAAAGCAAAATGGAAATGGGAACGTGGGAACGTGGGAAACGTTGCACTCCAAAGTGGTTTCCCTTCGCTGGAGACCACAATGTGGGATATTAGTTGTGAGGATCGAGACGCTGGGAGTGGGGCTTCGCTTACTTTCCTGGATCGTGGACTTACAGGTATTGACGACCCTTAAGCTCCTATATGTCATTCAGATTCTCTTTGTAAATTCACTTTTCTCCCTTAGACTTTTCGACTGGGAATAAGTGTTGGTTATTGAAAATGGAAACACATGCATGGCGGAAGAAAGAATATATAAGATATAACTGGCTTACGGATAGAAAAGCACAAGTCAGGGCTAGCAGTGCCAAGACGTCTATTGCTAGAGCATCGTACGAATATACATATGAAGTGTTCGACTGCCAGGATTGGGTATGCCACGGTCGTATCCCCCAACGGATATCTGCGTTTTGTTACTCCCGTTAGCGGGGGGATGCTACAGTCATTTGCGTGAGGTGTAGAAAGGGTAGCAGGGTAGCAGCGTAGCGGGTCGCTTGCCCCAGATGAGAGTGATACAATGATAACGACGGTAGTTGCACTCCCGGAATGGGGACTGGGGACCGGGGGGACCGAGGACCGGGGACCTAGTCAGAGGCAACTTCGTGGCTGGGTTTTTATTTGTTGCATTTCTGCCCCGACCAAGGAAATAAAATTTCCAATGTAACTTTGCTGCGGTGGCCTGTTCATGTACATATGTCTGAATTTCGCTGTGTGTGTGTGTCTTTATCTACACATGTGTGCTGTGTGTGTGCTGTGTGTGTATCTGAGTGTGGAACGCGGCTTGCGGCCTGTGACGAGTCTGCAGTTAACAGGGCAAAATGCCACGATTCGGACGCCAACTCCAACTCCAACTCCAACTGAAAATGCAACTGCAACAGCGACTAGGACTATGGCCAGGACCGACTACGATTGTGACTCCATCTTTTGCAACTCGGCAGACACGGTCTTCGTCTCCGTCTCCATCTCCATCTGTGTCGCTTTCTGGGTTTCCTCTGGACGCCTTTAAGGGAAATGCAGTTGGCATAAAATTTAATTCGCTGCCTTGGGAGGAAGAGCTCAGGAGATTACGTGCATAGCTGTTCCTGCTCTCTATCCCAATCCCAATCGCAGTTGTCGAGGAGAAGCATTTCAAATACGCATCGAAACAAATTCGGAATCTCAATGGGAGGTCGAAGTGGTGGTAGCTCGTTGGAAATCAGCAGTGAGGAAAATATTCATTCGTATAAGGTAGGAGACGCAGCCAATTCCGAGCGGGACAGCGCCTCCACGTGCCAGCTACAATGGGAAATGGAAACGATGGATGCCACGTGGGACGCCACTTTGGTGGGAGATAATATCGCCCTGTCGGCCCGCATCGGTGACACCAAAAGCGATACCAGTGAAGGTGAGCTCCGTTCTGCATCTTTCTGCAGCTCTTAATTTTATCCAATTAAGTCGCAGACGAGGTTGCGGATCCTGAAGGCGATGGCCCCGTTTACAGTCTGCTTGATGGCGATGTGGAGGAGGAGACTGACACCAATGTCGGGATCACCTGCGAAGAATCCATGGCGCTGTTGGCCCACGAGATGCTCTGCTGTCCCGACAGCGGCACTGACTCGGAATCGGAGAACGATCATCAGATATCAGACTACTATATGATCAAGGAGTGCCAAAAGCTGGACGGCAGCTTAGAATATGGCTTGCACAATCCCTACCAGCTTATGGATACCGATGAAGATGTGGAGCAGGATGTCGAGCTGAAGAAGCACAATAAGGGGCATGCAGCGTGCTTTCATTGGGCCATAAAGGGTGTTATATTCAACATAAATGGAAACGACGGCAATCAACATTTTTTCTGAGTAAATGTTCCCCGCGAAAAAGATCGAACTGTTCTTGGATCAATTTTCGATGAGCTCGGCTGGGTTTCTGTGGCCAAATATTCCTGGATTGATTTTGTGATTTAATATATTTGTTCCCAAAATTGTCATGTAAATCAACATTGGTAATCAACATACAGTACAAATGCTTTTTTCTCACTAGGAGCACTAGGAATGCAAGCATTGGAGATCATTGAATCTTTGGTTCGCTTGGCAATTGGTGACCCATAATTTATCCACGAATTGGTGACCCCCGAAAAACAAGCATATCCACCACACTTAATGTTGAATCTCATTACTTTTCCACATTATTCAAGACCATTCCGAAAAAGACTTAGAACGCAATAAGATATCCATTCTGGGCCCACAAAGATTCCAATCCCCATATATCACAATCGAGCACAATCCCATGAATCTCAATTCATATCGTGTAATCAATCAGTTCACACACTGAAGATCAGATATCTTTCATGGTCCAAACTCACCTGTTCGCACTCGAAGAATCTGATGATGGCTGATGCATTCAACCAAACACTGAAAGGCGATGGCAACAGGCGGGCCGAGATGCTCCCACATTCGCAGCGGCTATCATTTACTGATGTAATTTTGTATTTCTCTGCTTTTTCTGTGCCAGTCTCTCTCACCAAGAGCCTAGCCTCTCTGCTGGTCAATTGCAAAGAGCTGGCGAGTCTTTAATTGCGAACTGCTAACTGGAAAACGGGGCAACTGCAGTTGCATGCAACTAAAACAACGACAAAGGAAGAGAAAGAGATGCGGCAAATGAAAAACAGCGTCAGAACCAAAGCGAATGCTAAATGGTTTTCGTTATGCGAGATATGTGGTATGCTGATGATGGGGAAGATGGCCATGATGATGATGATCCAAAGGGATTCCCCCACTCCCCCGTGGCAGTTTCCGATTCTCACTCCACGCTGCACTTAACGTAATCGGCGTTTCGGTGTTGGCTTTCCAATTGCCCGCGACCGCGTCAAAGCGACCACAAAACTAGCTAAACGGACGACCATTGACCGGCGACCGGCGACCGGCAATCGACGACCGCAGGTCATGTCGGGGTCGGCCTTTAGCGGATTTTTGTTCCGTTCGGTTCGGTTCGGTTTGGTTTGTTACGGTTTGCTTTGATTTGGACCGACTGGAGCTAGAGCTGGTGCTCTGTGTGAATCAGGGTTAAGCAATTGCAACTGTTGCGGAGGCGAAAAGAACATAAAATGAAAATGGAGAAATAAACAGAAATCACTCACCACACACTCGAAACACACACCAAGACACACCGCAAACACACGTGAGGCCGCGAAAAAAAAAATGTTGTAAATTTCGTGTTGGGGATATATGTTTTTGAAGTGCAGCGAACCGGACGTGGGATCACCGGGAATGCCCTGCACTAGAGTCGCGTCAAGTCGAGATTTGGCGAGAGATTTGCGAGCCACGCACGTGTCCACATCCGCATCCGGTACCCGGTACTGATGTCAACAAGCTACCACACGCAACTAATTCAAAAAATCCAGCGAACGGATTACGGACAACTTCAACGTCTACGGGGCCCCAGTCGGCGGCATCGCCAATCGGGGACGCCTGCCAGCGCTCGGCTCCAGCCCTCGGCTCATCGCGATGCGCCACGACTTTGTGAATTGGGTTCGTGGACACGTTCGTGGACAGGTTCGTGGACAGGTTCGTGGACATTCGTCGCCGCTCGTCTCTTGTCGTCCTTGTAGCCGAGTCCCGCAGTCGTTGGTCGCCCGTGGAGTTGCTCGCACGTGGCACCCGGCACAACTGCATTGGCTCCGTCTCTGTCTTCCACTCGAGCGCTGGCTCTTTCGGTTTTCTGTTTGAATGGGCGAGTGAGTGCCCCTGTGGAAGGATGGATTGTGTCCCTGTGTGTATTAACGTGTTGTGCGTATTATTTAAAAAGCAGCTTAACCTGCTTTTGTGACCTTTTCCCTTGGCCAACACGTGGGCAACCAGCAACCAGCAACCAGCGCCGTGGGCCGCCATCGACTCAGCTCCACACTGATTCACATTTGTCCGTTCTTTTTTATCGATGGAGATGGATAGACTCTGTTTGTCTGTCTGTGTCTGTCTTTCTGTGCCTCTGGATGTGTCCGTGTGGCATGCGTGTTGATAAATGAGTTTTTATTTTGATTTTATTCACTGTTTACCTTATTTTTGCATATTCATTGAAGGGACTAAGGACTACGGACTATGGACTACGGACAACGGACTCCTGGCTGTGATTCGATTTGCTGATCCTTATGTGTGTGTGCGTGTCTCTGTATATTCAGGACTGCCCTTTTGCCTTGGGGCTCTGGAAAATGCTGAAATGGTTGTCAATTTATTAGCAATCAGTGGCATTAACAGCTGAATGCGGGGGAACGGCACCCCAGCGAAAACTCTCTCGGATTACGGACATTTCAGCCACGTGGGAGGAGTCTCTGATCATTGAAAGTGCCCCATAATGGATGAAAGGTAGTTGTCGCAATCAGAAATGAGGGGCAAGTCGAGTGTACCACTTGTGCGTAATTATGGTTCATATATGGACAGATCTTAATCACAGTCACAATCATCGGATGATCGGATCTCGTTCGTGAATGCGATTTCTAGACACTGCTCTACACTTGAAGAAAATCACCTTTAGCGACGCATTTTATTTTCTGGGAGTGGAACACTTGTTTTATAATATAAAAATCTCAATTTACAGCTGGATCATGCAATCAGGCATGTTATATTCGATGCCTGCACGATGTTCCTTCGGCTGCTCATCGACAAGCGACAAACTTAGCGATACATTTCTACAATCTCAACGAGCGGGAAAGTTGTGAACCGCGGCAAGGACAGCGGCTCTACTTGTATAGCCGATAATCCGTCAGTATATATGTGATATTATGGTTTATGTAATTTCTAAAGTATATTTTATATATTTTATATATTCCTATAAGAGATATTTCCGCGATCTCTCTCAGTTTTACTCGAAGTTGTCATCAGAGATGGAAAAACTATAGAGAAAGAGAGCTATTTGTTATGTTGCAAAGTCTATTGTTACACTCCGTTTATCCTCTTAACACCTAATAGCCTATTTGAGTAAAATTATATAGTCGAATATTTTATCTGTCTCCATTTATCTTCAAATTTTGTTTAAGTCTGTTGCTTCATCTCCTCTGATGTTTTGTGTGAGATTACGAGCTCGAGTTGCTTTCAGGAATCGAGGACACAAATTGGGAGTCGATCACGACTCTAAATGCATCCCAAAAATGATTCGCTCTAGCGCGTGATCGGCACTGACGTTGACATCATTTCCATTTCCGGCGGCGTAGATTATGGAGTGCTCCTCATGCTGGAGACATTCTTATCATCCTCTTCATTAGTTTTTGTGAGGCTGGTCTCAAAGAGTTGTTCTTTTATGGGGTCTTATATTGGGTCTTGACGGTCAGAGATGCTGATCGTCTTAACGATTAAAGACTTTTCTTGATGGAAAGAAAATGCGTTGGACTGTTTTTAAAAGTGCGATAAATTAAACTCTGTTCATGTCCTTAAACTTAAGTCATCCGTGATCATATCTGTGACCTCTCGCTTTCTTTGTCTCGTCAATATATGGAATACTCGTTTTGCAGTTCAGCTTCTCATCAGACTGTTCTTTCCCTGCAGCTTTATGCTTGCGCACCCCTTTTATGCCGTTTGCTAGTCGGTTATCCCGCCCTTCCCCTATCCAGACCAAGCCATAATCGGCTTTCCTGGACAGGCCTCCATGATCGGTTTTCCATTCATTGGGAGTTCCGTGCGTCATAATGCACTCTACGGGGCAGACTAGAACCGCAAAAGCGGCAAATTGGTCGAGTCGGTTGTCGGTTGCCGGTTGTCGGTTGCCGGTTGCCAGTCCCTTCTTTTGGGACTTCGATTCTAATTCCCTTTCCTGTGCCCATTCTAATGCCAATGGCAATGGAGATGCAAATGGCAGGAAATGCGTGATAACGACCAGCGACACACAGAAAATATTGAAAATTTGAATGGAGGAGCACACATACTCGTACCCGTTACCCGTAACCCGTATACCCGTATACCCGTTACCCGTGCAGCCATCAGCACATCTGAGGCGGAATGAAGAGTGAGTGAAATCCGTAGCCGTTGCCTCTGCCGTAGCTGCATCTGAGACTGTGACTGTGATGTCTTTGTCACTATCGTTGGCTGAATATGGCTGGGAGTGGAGATGAAGATAGTTTTGGGTATGGTTCGGGTATGTTGTGAAAGTGTCGACACCAGTCCCGGCTAGGCCAAACACATGGCAAATGGCACATGGCAGACGCTTCTCGTCCACTGTCCCTGTCCCTGTCCCTGTCCTGGTGACCATGCGATTCCCCTCTTCCCCTTCTTGCTCTTTTTGCTTCCTGGATGTCAGTGTGAAGGAACGGGCATAAAGAACCGCAAAATCATGAAATGCAATAATGAAGGCTTCATGGTCGATCGCTTCGACAGACACACGCATACACAGAAAGAAATAGCTACACAAAAAGAGAAAGAGAAAGGCATAGAGATGGGGGATAGAGAGCTTATGCATAGACAGGGAAAAGAGCAAGCAGCTTTGCTTTGGGATGAGGGAAAAGCAAGACGTGCAAGCGACACGACCGTCAATGGCATGTGTCCATGTGTAGGTCTGAATCTATAGCTGTGTGTATGTATGTGTGTGCATGAGTATGTGGATGTCGACACCACAAAGTTGCCATATTTAAAGCATAAAAGCAACATTTCCGTTTGTCGCATGCCGATGAAGCGACAGGAAAAGAGAGCAGCAGCAGGCGAAGCTGCTGGCTGGGATCGGAGCGGAACGGGGCAGGGTCAGGGGCAGGGGCAGGGGCAGGGGCACTGACAAGGGAAGTGGTGGCGTGGCAGGCGGCTGGATACCACGGCAGACTTCAGGGTGTAGGAAGGACCCAAAAGAGGCATAGCAGAGGCTGAGGCCTACCCCACCGTACAAGCGCGTCTGTGTGTGTGTCTATGTGTGAGTGAGTGTCAATTTGTGTGCGTGCGCGTTGCAGTCATGTACAACATGCAACAAACGTGAGAAACTAAAATGAGTGCAATTTGTATGCCACGTTTACGTAGGAAAGGAGCCTGCC